CCCCCCCCCCCCCCCCGCTTGTCAGGAGCAGCCAACCTCATCGCAGGCCCCTGAGCCGGCCCCACCCTTGCAGCAGGGCAGAGTTGCTTCCTAGTGAGCTGGTAGCAGCTCCTGGTACAACTCTTCTGTCCATCTCTATTTGCTGCTGCCTTGACTGGGGTTTCCTTGAGGCAAAAGTTCTCTCAAGGACTCGTGTTTACATGTTCCTGTTCTGCAGCCCCTCGTGATTTGTCTTTTTAATATAACTGGACAACCTGAACTCGCATATGCTAGCCGGGGAGAGAGGAGCTGTGTGGCGGATATTGCCTTTTGTCTTTAAGGGGAAGGCTAGTTTAGATGTTAGAAAACCTAATCACTCACATTAAGGTGGATCTGTGGTGTCTTATCCAGGCTGTCAGGGCATGCAGACTGTAGGGGCTGTGAAGACTGTAGCATGACAGCAGCAGTCCAGCAAACCCTTTGATCCTGGGCTTTCCTAATCTTTGCTCACATGATCCATTGGGTTTTCCCCCATTTAATCTAATGCAGATCTTGTCACTAATGTTTTGGGAAAAGTTTTTAGATAAATTCCCATTGTACCAACGGCTGCCAACTAAAACACAGGCATTTACCCACCCCTAGGTAGTCTTTCCCTAGGTTAGATATGAGTGTGCCATATTGGTAGAAAGCACTTTATGCCAGTGTAACTTGTTTTGCTTTGCTGAAGCAAAATATGGCAAAGCACTTTTATATTGGTATGGATGCGTTTGTGTTGAGTGGGGCCTTTGTCACTTTAACTATGCTGACATAAGCAGCACCATTCATGTGTACAGACATTACATCTTTATCTCTCTGTGCCTTATTTTAGTAGGGGTGGCATAAATGGATTGCACATGCCTTTGCAGGGCTTTGTGCAGATAAACATAAGAGGTGCTCAGCTAGTCAGCCTGGGCGGGGGGTGATGCAAGAACCTTGGACAGGCTGATGGCTGATTGAAGGAGGACTTGCTTCAACAAAAATCTCACCAATCTGTTCTTTCAGGATTTCATTAAATGATGACTTGCTGCTACCATATCCTCCTTCCCAGCATGGCCCACAGCACCCTCATAGGCATGTCAGAGACTGTCAAGCTGTTGTGCATGGCAATGTAACGCATGAAGCCTGGCCCAGCGACAGAAGTACAGGACTGCCAGTGGCTACCACAAGAATGTTTGTTTCTGACATCCCTCCAAAGGACAAGAAGCAAAGGAAGGTCTATGGCCACTTCACTTTTGTGAGGAATCCCCTGAGAACATTCTCTGTGTTAGAACCCGGTGGTGCAGGAGGTTGCAGTACCAGATGGAGGGCCACTGTGGAAAAGACTGCAAGGCATGGCCAGTGTCTTGTGGCTCAGAATGGTGGCTACTTCAGTATGGACACTGGAGAATGCCTCGGAAATGTTGTGAGTGATGGGAGGCTGGTGAAGAATGCTGGAGGTTTGCAGAATGCACAGTTTGGCATCAGAAAGGATGGCACCTTGGTATTCGGGTAAGACATTAGACAGCTTTCCTGAAGAAGTGTCTTTTCCCAAAAGAGCCAACAGTAATACTGTGGCAGAAGAGTTCTCCTAGGAGTTCACTTCTACACTCTTCCATGGTAATTTCAGGTATTAGAACTCCTCAACTGTAATAATAGGGTGAACCTGTTTACTCAGTCTCTGATATTTTCTCTTCCTCTTGGAAGGAAGTGTGGCAGTAAGAGCTTACTAAGCAAGCAACATTAATCACCCTTGTCAGCTCTGGACTCCCTGGGTTATCTTGGGCAATTCACATAAGGCCTGAACTTTAGGAGTTGTTGCCTAGCCACAGTTTCCATTAACTACAACTGCAGTCTTAAGTGTTCAGCTCCTCCGAAAGTCAGGCCCTTAATTTCCTGAGCATTCTGGTGGGGTAGGGGTAATGCACTCACTCAGTGCCCCATCTTTAGTCTAGTGATAAGGGACATCTGTGGACCCTTGTGAGACTTGGTTAGTCTTTGTCAGTGAAGGACTTGAAGCTTCATATTAGACAATTCTTCATAAAGAGGTGGACTGGTGCTGTTCCTTGCACACAATGCATCTCATTTGCCATGAAGATAGAGTCAAGGATAAGAATAGAATGGTCTTCCCGAATCTTGGGTCAGTCTGCTCCCTGTGCCACACAATACAAGGTTAGTGCAACTCGCAGATCCTTCTCTCGGTTCCACATGTCGTTATGCCATACTCTGGTCACCCACATTCTCCTCTTGCCTTAGCAACACTTCCCTCTTCTCCTTCTTTTCACCCAACAAACACAGACATACACGTGTCTCCAACAGGACCTGATTCAAGAACTACAACAGAGCTGCAGTTATTACCAAACATCTCCCTCCCCCCACATAGTCATAGAATCACAGGGTTGCAAGGGACATCAGGAATCATCTGGTCCAACCACGGCATGAGTGAAAGAATAATACACCTGAGTCATCACTGCCCAATGCTTATCCAGGCCTCCAGTGAAAGCCTCCAGCAAAGGTTGTTTGTTTCACAGCTTTACTGTCTGTCTGTCCTGTCCCCGTGTCATCCCCCCCACAGCCTCTTGCAGGCCCTCCACTTCCCACATCTATGAAATAGGCCTTGAATGGGCCTCTGACCTAAGTGGCACATTGGGCCAGCCTAGTTATGTCACCAACACGGGCTCTTCATCATGCCTGTTACGGTGAGTGCCACACAAGCTAGTAATTTAGCATTTTATCCAGTGTGTTTCAGTACACCATTCACAGTCCTCTATGCTCATTTAAAGGTATAGTAGGGCATAAGAGATTTCTCAGGCACTTTTCCAGTATAACCTACTGCATTCAATCAATGCAAAAGGTATTTACAGCATTTTTCCCTGGTATAGACCTTAGCATTGTATCTACAATGAATCTCTTTCCAAAAGCCAGGCAAATGCATAGAAAAAAGATAAGGTGCCAGGGGTGTTAAAATTTCAGACATGCTGACCCCTCGGGGCAGACCTCTTTGCATTTCCCTGTGAACCTGCATGTCCACTTGAGTCAGACGCTTGGGCAGTACAGGCAGTCCTTGGACTTATGACACAATTGGTTCCTGAAAACCGCGTCTTAAGTCGAAACGTAACTCAGAACCAATTTTCTCATAAGAAACAATGTTATAAATGGGGGCTTAGTTCCTGAACCAAGGCCCAATACCCTATTTTCACCAAAAATACCCCAGAATTGTTTACTTGATCAATTATAGATGAGTAATATAGCTACATTAATGTATTTATATTGTAAATAGCGATCATATTGATTTGGAAGGACTTCTTTGAGGTGACTTTGCTGGACTTTTTGAAAGATTCTTGGCTGAAGTCTTTTCAGGAGTCTTAGTTGCAGGTTTTTCTGGAGTCTTGTCTGCTTTCTTAAAGAAAGCATCCAAGGAAGTTTGGACAGACGTTCTCCAGGGGGATGTGCGACAGCGAACTTGTTCACTGGCATGGTGTTGCATCAGATCAAAGGTTGTAAAGTTGAAACTGAAGTCAGGAAGTTGAGACATTGTAAGTGTGAAACATTGTAACTCAAAGTGTTGTAAGTCAAGGACTGCCTGTACTCAGTTATGGTTCTAACATTAGAAGGCGACTTGCCATGTTCTAGTAGATCTGCCCACACAGCCAGGTTGAAATCGAGCACAGCTCTTCTGGTGAATTGTAGCACTGCTCGTCTTGTGGGGCTCCCCTTCACTTCCCACACAGATCATCAGCTCATTTGCCAACACAACCCTGTCTGCAGGTTCACAAACACCCTCTGCCTACTTGCACCATATCTCATGAAGCATCTGAGCAAACCAGATTCTCACCCTCAAGGCCACTGTCACTCTGAGTAAGTGAGGGAAGAGAAAAAATAGCAGGTCACTTGGCCTACTCCTCCTAAAATGCATCTGAACAGCTCAGGGGTGGGTGGGGTTTCTCAGGGCTGAGAAAGGAGACAGAAGGGCAACCCAGAAGCTGGCTGACAGGAGCTTGTCTGATGCCTGAGTTGCTTGCCAAACCATGCAATGCCTCAGGGCAGGATGGGGAGATGTAGAAGCTGAATAGACACAGCCCAGTTGGAAAGCAAGCTCCATCAGTGCTCTCCTCCCCCCTCCTTTGGCACAGCACCACACCCTTAAGCAGCTCCAGTTTCACACAGACCTAACCAGACTGTTTACTGAGAGTTTGTTTCAAGGACCCACAACCACAGCCCATGTGCAGAGGACAATGGAAATATTTCCTTCTGGGAACCATTCACCACTGTTTCTGAGCTAAGTCCCAAAGGGTGACTGCTGGAAAAAACTGTGGCTAAGACTGTCTGTCACCTTCTGCAGCTGAAAAGCTGTGCGTACTGAGACTAGCCTGTTCTACTGTTTGCTCCACTTCCAGCTTCCCACTTTAGCCACCTTCTGGGTGTGTTTTGCAGTTTAGTTATATCTATAAGTTCCAGAAAAGCAGAGTTCCTAACCCCTGCATTATAGTCTTCATTCATGGACCTACAATTTAAGTTGGCAATGGGACAATTAGAACAGGTCTGTCCAACTTTTAAGTGGGCAGAGGTTGCAAGATGCACAGAACATATCAACACAGTACAGGGTTACCATATTTCCAGGTCCAAAGAAGAGGACAGCTATCACTGGGGGGTGGTGGCAGCGACATGCGGGTGCCCTGCCCCTGCCCATTCTGTTGCCCCTCACAGAAAACCCGGACATTTGTTCTGAAGTGGTGTAGGCAGTAGCTTGGTCTAGTGTGCATGAATGTGGTCAAGCTGCTATCAGCACCAATTCAGCCACCCCTACTTCTGTACTCCGCCAGCAGAAGTAATGCAGACTTCCTAATGTAGGCAAAGCATTAGTCCGGCATCACTAATGGGTAGAGAATCATAGAACATTAGGTTTCAAAGGGACCTCAGGAGGTCATTTAGTCCAACCAACTGCCCAAAGCAGGACCGCCGCTAATTAGATCATCTTAGCCAAGGTCTTAAAAACCCCCAAGGAGGTTTCATAGTTTCTAGGGTCGGAAGGGACCTGAGAAGATCATCTAGTCCG